TTTTTTTTTTTGCTGAATGTTGTATGTTTTTTTTTTTTCGTTTTTTTTGTTTTTTTTCTTTCCCCGTGATGTACTACCGGTTCTCCGAGACTTGGCAAAAAAGTCCAAGGCTCGCCTCGGACTCGATAGCTGAGCGAGGTACTGGTGGTTTAAACCACCAGTACTTGGGCGACGCCTTAGCGTTAACGGTACGCGATTTCCGCGGCCGGCGGGCCGGCGATAAATCGAATCGACAGCCTGCGCTGCTTCGAGATTTGGGCGGCCGGCGCGGCGCGCAGTGCCCAAGTACTGGTGGTTTAACCAGCAGAAACCACCAGTTGCATGGGTGTACCACTCAGCCGCATGGGGACAGCTGGGAGAAGAGAAAAAGGTAGCGAAGGGACGAGTTCACAAATTGCCCAAATTGGCCAGTGACATTGCCCCCCATAACCAGCGAGGGCTCCCTCGGTATTGGTGAGCGAACAGGGAATAGCCGAGACATCGCCCGCGATTTTGGGGGTCTCGATTCGGAACTCCAGCGTTTTCGTGTGGCCAACCACTCTTTTTATTTATTTGGGCGGGGAATTGGACGAGCGCCACAGTCCGACAGCCACGGCGGGCAAAGCTGATCACTGCTCCCGACATAGATAGTACCATCATCAGCGTGAATCTTTTTTTTTTTTTTTTGGCAGCGTGAATCATGGGTGGCGCTCATCCGGAATTTCGTGGGCCTCCCCCCGGCAAAAAACAAAGAAAATCTTATTGGGCCGGGTCCTCGTCCCAAAAACTTATTGGGCCGGCGCGCCGGCGCGCCCAGCTTTGCCGACATCGGTTTCATTTTTCCTCCTGCAGGAGGCGACGTGCGATAGATAGCCATCGGCAGGCGAAGCAGCAGCAGGCCACCATCGATATCGATAATTAGGGGTGAGGTGGGGTCCGCTCTTCCGCGGCAGTGTTGCCCTCCCTCGTCTCTGCTCTCACCTCCTCTTGCACTTTGCTACTGCTCTTCCTTGACCCCTGCCGTAGGCCGATCGTCAGACGATCGGCCAACGAACCGACCACCCGCGTTCGCAACACCCGCACATTTCCCCCCCTCCGCACATTTCCCCCCGGCGCGCGGCCGGCGCAAGGCAGCGCGATCCACCGAGAGCTGACCTGTTTCTCCCGCGTCGCCCCGGACCATCCGCCGAGCTCACCTCGAGTTGTTGCGTTGTTTGAACTGTCGTCGGGCGACCGGCAGTAGCTGTTCATCGGCTTGCGCCTTGCCCTTTGCCCTCTTGCCCTTGCCCGTGTAACACAACGCTATCGGTCGGCCGCCAGCGCGACGCACGATGGTGGTACGTATTCGCCTGGCTCGATTCGGGCGGAAAAACCTCCCTTTCTATCGACTTTTTGTTGCCGACAGCCGATCTCCGAGAGATGGGAAGCACATCGAAATGGTCGGGCACTACGATCCGCTCCCAGGTAGGTGCTGACTGAAACACACACCCTCCATCGAAGACATGTCTTGGTCGTTGTTCGCCGTTCAGTGCTGGTCGTCCTTCATCCTCTTTAGGAAAGATGGTCAGAGCCATTACCAAAAGACTACTGGCACCGCCAACACCATCCCTCCACGTCTCGTCGTTGTTCGTCCTGTCCAGTACTCGTCATTCACTCTCCATCCATGCCTCGTCGTGTTTCGCCCTGTCCAGGACTCGTCCTTCACCCTCTTCAGCACAAATGGTCAAAAAGCACAAATGGTCTTCAAAACCATAACCACAGGGCATACTGGCACCGCCAAGCATCCTCCCCTCCATTCGTTCCCCCTTCTTCCC